GAAGGGTGAACGCCCGCTGGAAATGCCTGGAGGGTAACGTAGGGTGGGGCAACTACAGCTGCTACAGAATGTCACACCTCAAGACAACAGAACCCAGGTGGCGTGATCACTTGCTAGTCACTCTCTGAACAAGGTTCAAGGGCAGTGAGTCTTGGAGTTAGATATGTAGACTAGAGTTGTAGCTATGGGATATTTACCTTGTCGGGATGTTTACCTATGGAGATATGAGATATTTACTTATTAGAGAGTGAGAGAAAGACACACACACAGAGCTTTTAAACTTTACTTATTTAGATATGGGATATTTACTTATTAGAGAGTGAGAGAGACACACACACAGAGCTTTTAAACTTTACTTATTTAGATATGGGATATTTACTTATTAGAGAGTGAAAGACAAAGAGATTTTTGAATTTTTAAAAATAACACTGAGCCCTAACCGGTTTGGCTCAGTGGATAGAGTGTCGGCCTGGGAACTGAAAGATCCCAGGTTCGATTCCGGTCAAGGGCATATACTGTGGTTGCGGGTACATCCCAGTGGGGGTGTGCAGGAGGCAGCTGATTGATGTTTCTCTCTCATCGATGTTTCTGATTCTCTGTCCCTCTCCCTTCCTCTCTGTAAAAAATCAATAAAATATATTTTTTAAAAAAACCACTGAAATAATATAATCCCTGTTAATTTAGTTAAAATCAAATCTTGTTTAACAGTGTTTGCATTTTTTTTATTTTTTAATGAATGACTTTATTTCTTTCACTTTAAGGCTGATGGGAAACCATTATGCCTTCTCTTAAAGAAAATACATCTCAATTAAAAACTATGCTAACTGCCCTAACTGGTTTGGCTCAGTGGATAGAGCATTGGTCTGCAGACTCAAGGGTCCCAGGTTCGATTCCAGTCAAGGGGATTTTTATATTTACTGATTTATAAATTTGATTTTCATTTGCACTCATTGTATATTATCTCCTGAATATTTATTTCAAGTTTTAGAATAATGGGGATCATACTTTCTTTTTCTTTAGTCTTATCACTTCTCACCTTCCTAAATACACACACACACACACACACACAATCATCATCATCATCATCATCATCATCGTCATCATCATCTTCACGTTTTCTTTTCAATGCATTTGTTGATTCATTGGCAGCATTTTGTGATGACACCATGTTAGTGGTAATAAGAATGTTTTTGGACCCAATTAGTGATGGATTAATCAGAACATTCTGAACTGCTGATGTTGCAGGAATTGATGCTTTTACAGCTGGGGACCGTGAAGTGTAAACCTTTGTCCTGTAAGGGACATTGGAGTCCCTACTTCAGTTGAAACTGACATGGGTTGTGGGGTTGATGTGCCAAGTGTGGGAGCACTTGGTCTGCTAGTAACTAAACCAACACTTAACCATGGAACTGGTGTTCATCCCGCAGAAGTAGAAGCTTTCTGTTTGTTTGTTTGTCTTTTATAAAGACGTGAGCCTATAGTTTGGAGAAGTCAAGCAATAGCTATGAGGTGGCATCCTGGGACCTGAATATGGCTTGATCAATGGCAATGGGGTTCAGTTTTCTTGCCTTGCAATCTATTTATATAAAAATCTTAGGTGTAATGCGTCACATCCGAGGCCCCCCCAACCGGAAGGAAATCAGTCCTGCAGGAGTTGTCTTGGCAACAGCTACACCCTCCCCCAGCTGTTTCCAGAGAGGGTGAGGTTTCAGGCAGGAACCGGCCCTCAGAGCATGGATGCACTGAGTCCTGGGTCGCCTTGCCAAGGGCTACGTCCCCCCAGAGCTGTTTCCTGCTAGGGCTGAGGGAAGAACCCACCCTCAGAGCACCAGGAGTGCCCAGCAGCACTCAGTCCTGGGTTGCTGAGGAGGAGGCCACTTGTGGTAGAACTCTGGTTCTGGCCCAACAGGGGGTGTGGCTGGCTTTCAAACCAGACCCTGGCAGTAGGGAGGAGGCAAGTACTGCAATGTTTGGGGATGTTTCAGAAAGTTGTCTCTTACAACAAATATGAGATCAGAGAGGATTCTGCTTATAGTGGATGGTTAGTAAAACTTGGAGATGGCAAACTTGATAGCAGTTTTCATTTAGGAATGGATATTATTGAAATTTCCTGTGAAATAATTTGTAATGGATTTATTATTGAAGCTATCTTTGGAAATCCTGTATCTATAGATAATATTAAAAATAGATCTAAACGTGCAATCTTTGTCCAAAAAATGAACAAGTTCAAAAATTAAATGAAGAAATTTTGGGTACACTCGATGGAGATTTTCACAGATATTTGAGTGATGATTCCATTGATTCCACAGATGATGCTGAAAAGGAAAATTTTCCCATAGAATTTCTTAGTAGTATTACTCCTTCAGGAATGCTGTGTCATTAATTAAAATTGAAAGTGGGTGCATTCATCATATTATTGAGAAATCTTAATAGGAAATGGGGTCTTTGTAGTGGTACCAGATTTATTATCAAAAGATTGTGACCCAACATTATTGAAGCTGGAGTGTT